TTAAAGTCAACCTATATTCCGATTCGTGTATAGAAAAAAGTAGATATCCCTATCGGGATATTGAATCGGGATATATATCCTGATTAGGATATGGTTCCTCGCTGTCGTGACTTATAGATTTTTAAATAATAGAATCAGAGAGCTTAACATGTTTTCTTTAAAATGATATGTCTTCCAATTCTCTGAAATGCTTCTTTAAGAAGTTATAGTACTTTTCCCCAAAACTGTCAAAAGAATGATATCGTTTGTTGGCTGTATATGTCTCAGAATCGCCTTTTACAGCTGTAACTCTTCGTCAATGAAGGATTTCACTCAGAAGGAGTTAACATATAACGCTAGAAATTTCACCATAAGTAGTTCTCCCGCCTTTTCATTCGCACTTTATCTAAATCCTCGTTCTGCGCTAAACGATGACTCTGAACTTGCTACTCAAAAACTCTCAGGTGCAGTATGCGTTGGGTTCGTTGACTTTTATCAAAGCCGCCATTTCTCCTTGATTTTCTAGAATTAAGTCATCTCTTTTTCTTTGACGTGATCGAATCAAACTTTACATTCATACAGCAACAGATATTCCTTAGTCTCTCAGTAGACAAAGAATCTAACTATATTTAGATTTTCTAGTATAAGAAGCGTAGCTATCGAAAGCCGAGTTAGATCTTTTACTCAGTCACTTGTGACTACATTAAAAATATAAACTAATCTAAAATTGCAACTAGATAATTAAGTAGATTAAACATTTCTCTACAAAATGTTTTCATCATTTTTCAACATTTTCTTAGATCTGCAGCTCTGATCTGGATCAGAGTAAAGGGGATGACATAATAAAAGACCCGCGTCTTTTATTTTGTCCTTAAGAATAAAGATTTTAGAGGGGCCTTCTATTGTGCCCAAAAGAGGACGCTATCTTCAAGTCTATGTTAATGGTTTCAATGTCTATATTAAGCAATGATAATTATAAATATTCGATATATGTATCCATAGTCAGCGTCCGCATAGCGTACAAATGTAATAACTATTAATAGGAAAGTGTAAGGTTCTAAGCTATGAAAATGATATAATTGAGGTAATCGACCATCGCGAGTCGTCCTCACGCTGACCATCACGCACCATCACCAGCTCACAGAGGCCATCGCGCCGTAGCTAATAACTTTTCTTTTAAAAAAGATATTGTTACTATTATTTTAAATAAAATAAAAGATAATATGCTAGTATTAGTATTGTCATATAGTACTAACATAACAATATTGATATATCGGATATGATATTAATATTAGTATTACTTACTAAAATAATACGAAAAATACTCCTATTCTTATAATCAAACAATGCTTTATTTTTCTTTACATATATTTACTTAAAAGTTTTTTTCTCAACTATGCTTTTGAGTTTATTGAAGGTTAGAGTAGAAGAACATGTCGCGCGTGAATTGAGGTATAGACTTTAGAAAAAAGTAGATATCCCTATCGGGATATTGAATCGGGATATATATCCTGATTAGGATATGGTTCCTCGCTGTCGTGACTTATAGATTTTTAAATAATAGAATCAGAGAGCTTAACATGTTTTCTTTAAAATGATATGTCTTCCAATTCTCTGAAATGCTTCTTTAAGAAGTTATAGTACTTTTCCCCAAAACTGTCAAAAGAATGATATCGTTTGTTGGCTGTATATGTCTCAGAATCGCCTTTTACAGCTGTAACTCTTCGTCAATGAAGGATTTCACTCAGAAGGAGTTAACATATAACGCTAGAAATTTCACCATAAGTAGTTCTCCCGCCTTTTCATTCGCACTTTATCTAAATCCTCGTTCTGCGCTAAACGATGACTCTGAACTTGCTACTCAAAAACTCTCAGGTGCAGTATGCGTTGGGTTCGTTGACTTTTATCAAAGCCGCCATTTCTCCTTGATTTTCTAGAATTAAGTCATCTCTTTTTCTTTGACGTGATCGAATCAAACTTTACATTCATACAGCAACAGATATTCCTTAGTCTCTCAGTAGACAAAGAATCTAACTATATTTAGATTTTCTAGTATAAGAAGCGTAGCTATCGAAAGCCGAGTTAGATCTTTTACTCAGTCACTTGTGACTACATTAAAAATATAAACTAATCTAAAATTGCAACTAGATAATTAAGTAGATTAAACATTTCTCTACAAAATGTTTTCATCATTTTTCAACATTTTCTTAGATCTGCAGCTCTGATCTGGATCAGAGTAAAGGGGATGACATAATAAAAGACCCGCGTCTTTTATTTTGTCCTTAAGAATAAAGATTTTAGAGGGGCCTTCTATTGTGCCCAAAAGAGGACGCTATCTTCAAGTCTATGTTAATGGTTTCAATGTCTATATTAAGCAATGATAATTATAAATATTCGATATATGTATCCATAGTCAGCGTCCGCATAGCGTACAAATGTAATAACTATTAATAGGAAAGTGTAAGGTTCTAAGCTATGAAAATGATATAATTGAGGTAATCGACCATCGCGAGTCGTCCTCACGCTGACCATCACGCACCATCACCAGCTCACAGAGGCCATCGCGCCGTAGCTAATAACTTTTCTTTTAAAAAAGATATTGTTACTATTATTTTAAATAAAATAAAAGATAATATGCTAGTATTAGTATTGTCATATAGTACTAACATAACAATATTGATATATCGGATATGATATTAATATTAGTATTACTTACTAAAATAATACGAAAAATACTCCTATTCTTATAATCAAACAATGCTTTATTTTTCTTTACATATATTTACTTAAAAGTTTTTTTCTCAACTATGCTTTTGAGTTTATTGAAGGTTAGAGTAGAAGAACATGTCGCGCGTGAATTGAGGTATAGACTTGAGCAATCATAATCATTTACTGTTATAAAAACAGTTCATTAACATTGACAACCAGTAACTTTGAATAAAATATTTTTTATTTACGTACCACAAGGAAACATAATTCCTGTCACGAAAAAACTATCAGCGTCCACTTCTTCTTCTTCGTTAATTCGAGCAATATGACACAGAGACTTCCATTCAAATATTGGTGCCCATGTTGGTGGATGATTTGGAGCCATATGTACAATTTCGTCAGTAAGAGACTTGCTTTGTTTGTAATTTAAAGCTTCGGACAAGGGCGAGGTCAGAATTGGAACAGTTTTGTTTTTCATTTCTTCGTTTAGTCTTCGTATTTCAGGATGTTGAGAAGGAAGTGAATTGCGCAGAATTTCAGCAGATTTAGTGTAACATGGTATAGCCAAGGTGTCATGTCCAAGTTTTTCGTGAACTATACCAATTGCTTCAATAGCCAATGCTCTATCTGGATGTCCAGGCGGCAATGCTTTGAACCGATATTTTAGAACTTTCTGATAATTTTCTAGCGCTAGTTCGTGTTTCTTCATTTCTGTGTACACTTGTGCAATATCTCTGTATGTGTCAGCAATATCGGCTGCTAACAATGGATACAATAATCGTAAAATTCTCCTTGCTTCATGATGATTTTCTATAGCTTGTTTATAGTTTTGTGTTAACCGATGTGCTCGTCCAACATTATTAAGACAAATAGCTCTCATTCGATCGTGTCCGCAAATACTTATTGCTAGACGATAATTCTCGAATGCAAGTTGAAATTCACCCGTGAAACAATAAATCTCGCCGATTTTATTATAATTTAATATTTTTTGCTCTGCAGTTTCTACTGATAACACTTGTCTTAATCTTAGTGATGTCTGATAGTAATGCGATACGTTAGTATAATCTTCACTCGTTTTAGCTATACCGGCTAATATATCGAGACACGTCAATTTGTCATTTTCAGATGATAGATCATTCAGTAAACGCTCAAAATATTGTTTTGCCTTCGAATATTCGCCCATTTGTTTCAGCAAAAGTCCTAGTGCAAATAGTTCATTTTGATTAATCAGTTCTTTCTTCATAAACTCGTAAATTTGTTTTGAATTTTCATTATTTTCACTGCACAATGTCAGCTTGACGATCCAGATACCAATAGACGAGTCATACGTAACACTATCAAGCCGAAACACACTACCAAGCATAAACAGTACTTCTCGTTCATCGTGCATATGACTTAAATGAGCAACATTAGCAAATGGTTTTGTTTGCAAACGTAAATCAGCATAGATCTCAATTAAAACGGGTTCGAGGCTTTCGTCCAAGCAGTCAATAAGCGAGGTAATAAATCCAAGTGCGTATTTTCGATCTTCAGTAGTTGAAATGAAACTGTTTAAGGAGATATAGTTGCCTGCACTTTTTCTTAGCTGAGCAAATTCTCGTTTTGAGATGGCTTGACCCCGATAGACCTTCAATATGAGTTTATCATAGGGAGGAAGACGACGAGTGATCATATAGTTCTCCATTTCGACTAACCCTAAAAAAAATGCGAACGTAAACACTATTACACTGTTCTGACCCTTTCTTCTCTTCTATCTTGGTAACATAAATGACCTGCAGGACAACCATGATAAATTTTGTTAGATGGAATTGCAGCCAATGCATCTTTCAGTTGTTTTTCTTTTTCGTGATTCAGCGTATTAAATATATCAACAATAAAAAACTTAAATGCAATTAACACTTCAAGATCGTGGACACGCAATGCTTTATTCAACAAACGATAGAAACAACAATCTTTTGTATACCACTTTACAGCAGCACTAGACGTATAAGTCCGTTCAAATTCGTCAATTTTTCTAAATTCAGTTTGATTTCCTCTGTATTGTTCCCTGCATATATTGACAAGATCACTTGTATTTCGTTGCTGTTCTTGTTGCGCCGTGTGAACAAATACATCGACGAGCAGTTGTGACCAAAGGAAATTTCCTTTTTCGGCGTGCATATTGGTATGAGATGATTCTTGTCCAGAGAAACTTAGTAACACTGGCTCCAAGTACTTTTCACGTTTTTCTTGATCTTGTGATATATGAGCAATCAGTTTCTTTTCATCTGTATAAACACCTTTGATCTAAATATCACAGATATAGAGAATTTTGTCTGCTAACATTGCTCACTTCTTTAAGTATACCTTTGTGTATTTCATTGTCCATTTTTTATTTTTCTGCTTGTCGAAACAGAATACGTAGATCGCATTCACTTGTTTTAAATCATGTATCCGAGGTACAAGATTTTGGCCCATCGAATCGCTGACAATAAAAGTAATTTTTTCATCAATAATTTCTTTAATATATTGTTCACACTGTTCAAAGTCGTGAAATACCTTAACATAATTAATTGACTTTCGTAATAATGTCACATCTAAATTTTTTGTGTCTATTGTAAGCCAAACCAAAGAATATGCTTCTAAATTACGCGTTGTCTGAATAAGGCCGGCTGAAAATAGTCTTGGAGAAACTCTCGACTTGGTTTTCGTATTAGATTGTGTATTGTTTTTGAATTGCGCACATGCTGCCGCTGGTAAAACAAAGTTTAACAATGCCATCACTATTTGTACAGGTAATAATATTAACATATTTATATTAAAAAACAACATGATTCAATTCAAATGTGTAATATATGACGTCAGAACGAACAAAAAAAGTAAAATTTTCAAGTTTAAGGGCCCTCCCCCCCCACTCAGAAATGGTGATTTTTGGTCAAAAAATCGGTTTTGAGATCCGCACATGAAAAGATAGCCTGAAGTGTCTACTTCCAGAATCTGTATTGCATTTGGTTACAAAAGTGTTTTTTTCGGGATTTTGAGAAAATTTTCTAAGAGCCTCGAAAAAATGAGTCTCCAAATAATGGTTTTTCCCTGGATACTTATGCAACTAAAA